GTGGCTTTTCTTTCCACCATCTCACTGTCTCTAACTCGACCTCCCCTCGATCGCCACCCAAGACAGCTGACTGCTCAGCTGATGTCATGCAATGAACTTTTAAAGCCAGCCACGGGATGCTTCGTAGTCCTCGATGGCCATAGTTAGCGCGATGGATCTCGCCTTCTCTCTAATTAGCGCTCCAGTTAGCGTAAGGTTTTTAGCATGATAACAAGTAAAGCATTCGAGGAAACGTTCGTTTATTTGACTGTCCGTTGAGCCACAAGCAATTTACTCTGAGCAGCTAATCGGATGCATTCCACTCTATCTTCCACGGATCTAGCTACAGTATCTACACACATAGACAGTGAGGTCCCTCTTGGCCAATCGGAGGCCAGGATGATGCTCGGTAAGCCAATGGCAGAGCAGCTATGAGTATGTTGCGTTCAGGAAACTCGCAGCTGTGACCGAAATAAACATCGTTCACTATGTAAACCAGTGTGGTGGTTGCTGTTGCCGTCTCCGAACGAAGCAGTAGAGGTCGCTGTTGGATTAGACTTCGTTGTAGTGAGTGTCTTCGGGAGGCAGGAGCAGAGAAAATGATTTCGTATAACGCAACAGGGTTTTTTTTCGTCATATGGGGGGCAGGAGAATGGGAATGGTGTTAATGCATGAAGATTTTTTCACATTAGGGGGTATTTTCGCCCATGTAGGTTTCATTCTAGAAGAGTTTCACTGTACCTTTTTCCGGACAGCAGCATTGCCGTGGGCAGCAGGGACAGCGCACATAGCAACAACATCTCTGAGGACAACACTGGCACCAGCAGATGCCAAGTAAGATGATGAGCAGCAGAGCTCCGATGATGATGAAAAGTACGGTTAACCAATCTGAGGGAGGAGGAGGATGAGTCAAGCGTCACAAATCTACAGTACGCGTGAAGAGATACACCTTGTAACATGTCACGGGATAATGGTAAAAGGTTTTCTTACGATAAACAATAAGTTTGACTTCTTTGTCAGAGTCTCCGGTGGTGTCTCCGGCTGCATCAACGGAGCAAAAGTACACACCGTTGTCCCACCACATCACCTCGTTGATGACCAGATCAGCCTCTGCACAAATATACAATAGTTCAATCAAACACAGTCGAGCAGAGGTTGACAGTCATCATTGTTCAGTTGAAAGGCATTGGCATCATGATCCAGTTTGGCATGACTTAAGTAACAATAATTGCTCCATTTTGTGTTGATTGTCACTGTACTGTATAAAACATTCAGATAATTTGTAGTTATTATTACAAAGGAGATATTCAATACAGTCTATTTTGAAACTGCTACCCCTTTTTGTAATTGTGGGACTGCTGAAGAGCATTGCAAATAATTCCACCTTCAACATAATGACCTCATTCAAAACACCCGAGCAACTACTTTCCATATTCCTAAAACTCTCACTTTTCCCAGAACCCAAGCGCACGTGCGCATTCGACACATACGTCAAACTGTTCAGTTAATTCAGAACATCCTGGGAACTATTTTTCCACATTCCAAGAATTTCCGCATTCCTACAGTTCCATAGTTTTCCGCAACAAAATTGCTCATTTCTGAGATAAACAGTCTTTACACCCTCCTTCTACATTTCTCAAACAAAGCCAAACATCCACAGTCCCACATTTTACATTAAAAAAATAAATAAATAAATAAATTACAGTAATTTCACAGCATTTCAGTTCAACTTTTCAGAATTCACAGACAATTGCTTGTCATGTGAAAACAAATGCAGATACCACCTATGAAATGAAGTAAAGTTAGTCTCTTCACAGTGTAAACTGGTTAAATTGGTTTTATTATAGTTAGGATAGCTATCAATCGCAAAGGCAAAAGAACACGAAGATGATGAGCGACTGCAAGTTCTGTAAAAATTGTGAAAGAATGCTAAAGCTGGATTGAAATGCTATAGAAATAATTGAATTGTAAATGCGAGACTGGAAGTTATAATATGATAGTTTGAATCCTGTGGTATGAACTCACTGTCTTGGATAGAGATCTTGCGATCACGGTATTCTGCACCGCGTATGGGCTCATTGTTTCCTCTCTTCTGAATCACGGTACGAATTGTGCGCTGGCGATCGGGACAGTCATTAGCAGGATCCTGGCCCAGCTGAAGTGCTGATTGGTAAGCTGCGCACGCACGCGCACGCACGCGCGCGCGCACACACACACACACACACACACACACACACACACACACACACACACACACACACACACACAAAAGGAGAGATAAATGCTCAAACGGCTTTCAGAAGAATTTTCACTGGCTAACAAGGTAAACAGATTTTTTTAAAAAATGTAAAAATAATAAGAACCATCTCTTACATGTGGAGTAGTACTCCAGTACAGGGTCCTTACAGAAGGACTTGAACCTCCAGGTGACCAGTACATCTTGGAGGCTTGCAGATGTTGAGAAGTCGCAGCGCAGAATCACAGAGGCAAAAAGAGCAGTGCTGCGGTCCTGCTGGGGGACGATCACCTGAATACACAGTGACACTGGACAGGCACGCCACACACACAATTAAATACAGCACATAATACATAAATACATAATATGAATAGGAAGTGTGGGCTCATATTTCTGCCAGATAAAAATGTCTTGTCATGGCAAATCTCTGGGATGGAAAATGAAGGCGGGGGTTATGGAAATACTCAGACTTGCAAACTTTCCATGGGAGTTAACTGAGAATGGAGTGTAATTAAATAGAAAGCACATATATATTCACATTTTATTTAATCAAAATCAGACAACCATGCAAAATAGAGAGCTCTCCTTGCCCAAATGTGGAGGCTATACAGTACAGTGGTACCGCACTTTACAAGTGACCCAACTTCGAGGTTTTGAGATTCAAGCTGTCCTGGGCCAAGTTTTTCTTGTGTTGCTAGCACTCACGAAGCTCAGTTGTGACTGTTTCCTCAATAGATAAACTATGAACTAATAAAACTGGCCCCTGGAAGCCGAGGCACATGATATTAAAACATATTTTCCCCACACTTTACTTAAGTTCTGTATTATTAGTCAACTTTTGTATTTGGTAAAGCCCTGCTTAATTCACATTTATTCTAATTAATTCTCATTAATTCCAATGGAAAGTTTCCTGAAAATTCCTGGCCTTTTCCAAGCCTATTTAGAGCAAAACAAAATAAGTACGGTAAGAATTCGACAGTGAATGTTTTGCTAAAACAACAGGGAGCTCATCCCACAAGCGGTTCAACCAGAAAAACAGGTAACAGGTGACACAACCAAAGGCACAGGAAGTGAAACCGGCCAACAAACATCAAGGTGGTTGAGATGAAACCAGTAAATTCCAAAATGAACTCTTTCAAACTTAGTCTGGGATGCTGAATAGATAAAACACGCTTCAGAAATTCAACAATGACTTTAACTCACAATAGTTTCGGTTATCTTTACAAAAGGATCCGCAAGATTCGATGAAGCAACTCACGTCAGATACATTGTATTAAAAAAAAAAAAAAAAAGCGAAAGTATCTGAACTGGGAAGGGAAAAGCTTTCACCCCTTGAACATATTTATTTGAAGCGAAACAATAATAAGACAAACAACAAAAAAGAAACACACATTCGAACTTGATTTGAGATTGGGAAAAAGAAAGTGTTCTGTACCTTTCAGGAGCGACCAGAGGACGGCGGCGGCTAATAATCGCCGCATGGTGTAAAAACGCCGCTTTCACGATTAAAAACAATCTTTTAAAAATGAGCAGAAACAAGTATGAAATGAAAAAAAAAGAGTTCAACAAGTGTTTGTTTGAAATCGTATCTCACAACAACGGCCCGTTAGTACTTCTTGTATGTTTGAGTATGAGATTGAAGTGAAGTCACAGCTCAGCCAGAAAACCACGCCCCGAAACAGGTGAATGCTTCCTGTGCGTCACAGAGCGTATCTGTGTTTGGGAGAATAAAGTTGTTGTTTTTTGAATTTGTATCGGGTATTTTTTAAAAGAAGATTCATAATTACAGGGATGGCAATTTTCCGCGGATACGCGGAAATCCGCCGTTTTATTTCTTAAATTGATCATTTTTGTGAATCGTCTAAATCCGTTGAGAAAATTTTAGGGGGAGTCAGGTACCTTATAGTCGAGTTTTCACGAGCTCACGCGATCAGTCTTTCCATCTTCCGATTGTAAACAGCCCTGCGATTGGACGTATATGATGCCTTACTTGTTGTCGCCATATCGGCAAATGCAAATCACAACCAATCCGTGTTCGCCTTCCTAAATCCCTTTCTCGCGAATGCCGAATGTTGTTGAGACTCGCGACGAAGCTAAAGTGCGTCAGATAGATGCGGATCTGAAAAGCACGTTTCGATGGGACGGTTTGGATAGAAATCTGACGGTGTCCCCAGTAGAGTAAAGAGGAACCATTGTCCTTGTGTCGGATTTCGTGAAAAAGCTCGATGTCGCCGGTAAAGCTCTGTGTACAGTGTGTGACAATGTCATTCTATACGGATCGAGAGGATGGAAAGCTTTACAGAGTCACGCAACCTCGGTGAAACACCGAAAACAGACATTTCTACTGAAAAGTAACTACAGCACGTGTAAAAACAAGATGAGTTGGCTAAAAAGAGAGTGGAAAAAGACGGAGAGGACCAATAAGCTTTTAGCGCTTGCTAAAAAGCTTAAAATGAAGAGAAAATAAAGTATTCTACCTCATGAAACTTTATATTGTTGTATATACTGTAAATAGACATCCACTTTATATAATAAAATACATTCATAACCCATATATAGTAAACAGTGTGGGACTTCACTATCACTGTATGAGGTAAGAATCAACAGCTTTTTATCACATTTACACAACACTTTATGAATACAAGTAATGAACAAATCTTAAATATGGCAGGAAATTTGTTTCCTTTTTTAGTTTTGATTTTGAGCAGCAAATTTGAAGTTACATATTGGTGCTCACCAGGAATGCATAAGCAAAATTGCACAAATTTTCACTTGAAAGAATAGTGAACAATCTTGGGATTTTTTTCTGTTCAAGTTTCAAATAGTGTGTAAATTGAATACACTTCATCTTCAGCATGTCGAGTGCCACTTTGGTACGTGGCCACGCCCCCGTCCAGGCCACGCCCCCTTCCGCGTTTTTCATCACTAGCCATGGTCATCCCTGTAATTAGGTGAGAATAAAACTCGTATCTAACTGAGCGGCAAACGTTTGCAAATGTAGCTAATGTTCTTGCCTCTTTGCCAGTGTTGGTGAAACTTTGCAAACAGTTTCAAAGACATTCGCCAGACATTCCCAAACATCCATTTTCTGAAAGGCTTTATCCTCATTGGGGTTGTGCTGGAGCCAATGCCAGCTGTCTTCGGGCAGCCAATCACAAGGCAGACAGATACAAACAAACATTCAAGCTCACAATCACAATTGACAATTTCAATTGTTCCACGAATATGCCGTGCACGTTTTTAGAATGTGGGAAGAAATCGGAGTACAGTATCCGGAGAAAACCCACGCAGGCACAGGGAGAACCTGCAAACTCCACACAGTAATCCCAGAATCAAATTCACGACCTCTGCACTGTGAGGTGGACGTGCTAACCAGTCGATCACTGTGCTGCCCATGTACGTTTCAGGCAGTACTAATTATTGTACAGTAAATTTGAACGAGTACCACTTTTCACTGCGGTTTTGTTTTCTTACACACACACACACACACACGCACACATATGCACTTGTAGACTTCATTTTATGTTAATGCTGTACTTAAACACGTTTCAGGCAGTACCCCCCGCCCCCTACCTTTACTCATGGAAAGAAGGTGAATCAGTAATTCTACTTGTATTTTTCAATTATTTTAGTTTTTGCCATCGCCGACCCCTTTTCAACATAACCACCAGGTGTCAGTCTAAATCAGTAATTATACGAAATGGAAGATGGTACTGTACTGCAATGAGTACAAATAGCCTCCTTAAAATATAAAATACTATCTAATGTTCTACCACTCCAAGTTGATGTTGCAGTTGTTTCCAATACAATATTTTGGTTACCTTCTAGAGGGGACACACCACGTCCTTGGTGTCATGAAATGCAGTTGCAGATATCATTAAATTTTTCATTTGTACATATTTACAGATCTAACAAAAATAAATTAAATTGATATTCCTATTCCCCTCAACAATCTATTCACATGAATGAATACAGAACATTATGATCTCATGAAGGGAGTTGCTCAACTGCATTCCTAACAAAATCTGAAAGAATGACTGAGATGGTCACTGACCTTAAATCCCAGACAACCTAAAGCGATTCTTGTAAATCTCCTTTTAAAAACTCTGTGTACTATGCACACATAATATGTTCAGTCAAGAATATCCCCCAATGGTATCTATATCACATTATGACCTCTGCTCTTTATGCTTAGCATACATGATAATTCTTCTGCAGTTTTACTCTTTCACTGTTTCGAGATTCCTCCATGACACTTCAAAGACCAACAGGTGTACTCTTCTGCAGTATTTTGTGCAAATGTGGTAGAAACACAAACAGTTGGTGGGACTGTTTCAAGCTCCCCCTGGAAAACAGTTAGTAGTGTCCCACTAAAAAATACGTGCCATACAGTTTCAGTTTCGAGTCTCACCAAACCTACCCTTGTCTTTGATTGAACACACACTAGTTTATCCACAAATCATAGCAGTAGTACATGGCTCAAGGATGTCAAATAAATGCTCAAATGGCTTTCCAAAGATGAGCCGGCAGAACTGCTGCGTGAATTTTACTCCAGCTGTGTATTGAAGAATGGCAGCCTGTCGATGCAACAATGGACAAAGAAATGACTCATACTTGGCATTGCTTCCTTGGCAAAAACTTGAAAAAAAAATCTTCTCATTCATCAAATGATATCCCCATTGTACAAGGTTCCGTCTATATTGGCCACATTGACATTTTTAATTGCTACTGTTGATAGTTTTTACCTAGTGGCTAAGAAAGCGTGACCTTTAACCTATTGACTACAGAAACCTGTTAGCACATTTACAGAATTTGCTTGACATTTATTGGAAGGTCCATGAATTCGTATGCTCTTTGTCCTGACAAGTGAGACAAATTCAGCACACAAGATGAACAACTGTCTTACAAGCAATGTTTTTGTCCACTATTAGTGCAGCTTTTGGCCCACTAATAAGCTTCAGGTATATAACCCTTACTAGTAAACTATTGTGTTGCACATGTAGGGCTAGGAATCAGTAGGTAGTAGAATGTTGTTCCCACTTGTATGCCAAAGTTATCCTACTAGTGTGCAGATATGCCACTCAGTAGTGGAAAAACGTAACTTGTAAGACAGTCTTTCTACTATTGTACTTCATTGTCTTTCTCGTGAGGCTAAAGAGTGGACAGATACATGAACCTTAAGCTAGATATCCAGGATAGTGAATGAATATTCAAACGGCTATCAATAAAGTTTTTCATAAAGCTGTTTGAGCATTTATTCGATATTCTTCTAGCAGTGTGCATAAATGTCACACAGTCGTAGAAGGTCGTGGTGGAAAAATTACAAGACACTGAATTACGCTGAATCGTTTTACTACTGAGGACAAAAACCATTCATGGAGCTTAAAATGGTGAATAGATGCTCAGATGGTTTTCCATAATTAACAAGATGATTAACTGTAGAAGTAAAATTAGGTTAACCTAAATTAGTAAAAAAAATATATCTGTATAATAATAATAATTCTCATTCATATGACCACATATTGTCCATTGTACCACCAACTGACAGCGTCAGTTATAGTAATGCTATCAAATTATAATTTGTCTTATCTTATGTACTCATAAATATGGAGTACACATTGGTATGCTTCATAATGCATTCTTAAAATACTTTATTCTTCCGGTTTTACAAAACAAAGGAAAAACTCAAGTATCCCATTTTCACAGCATTTAATGAGGAATGAAGCTGCACTTACAGAAAGTTCACACTTGTACATGTTACTGTTTCATTAATAGGGACTTAAACAATTGAATTACACTGTACATGGCAAATAAAATTTGGGTCATAAGCACAGTCAGCAGTATTAGTCAAAACCCTGTTTAGAGTCACGTTAATAACAGACAGTGTTGATGTGAGGGGGGAACTTCATTTAGTCAGACCAGAGTAAAATTTGAAAAAGTGCTTTTCCACTTTTTTGGGACAGCTAAAGTAAATTACAAACCTGGTCGTTAATAACTTCAAGTTCATTGCTATTTGGGTTATTTGTTATTTTTTTATTGTGTAGGCTACTATTTTTTTAAAAATTACAAATGTTTTAATATTTCTTATTGTCATCACATCAAACAGAAATGAATGTGGTCATTGTGCCGGAGGCATAAAGCTTTCACTGGTTTCCATCTCCCTTTAAAAGAAGGAAGGTCAGTGGGGTGTTGGTCCTTTCCACGTCGCACACCGAGCCCACATTAGTCCAGCTGAGGCGTATGCAAGGCGACTGGTAACACAAGCGAAGCCCCGATGACATCAGCAGTTTAGTTCATATGTGTGTCATTCATGTCTCCATTCAAGGGTACCAGTTACAGTGAGTCTTTTCTCAGCTCACACGTACGTACTGTAGTTCCCATTGAATCACATGGTTGTAGTGTCCGGCCCTTCCAAGAGCCGAGGCTCTTTCAGCCATTCAAACGATAAGGGAAGCCCGGCTAAGAAGAGTCCCCTGCTGAGGATGAAAACAAGTCCAAGTGAGTTTACATGAAAATATCTGGATGAATAGGGACATCCCCGGGTTAGAACACACAGGGTGGTAAGTTGTGAAGCAGAAGCTGGGACAAACTACACTTCAACTTCTGTCATTACCATTCAAACCCACTCCAAAACTTGAGCCAACTCTGGTAAATATACTATTTTGAGAAGGACTTTTGATGTTGAATAGAGTTTTGCCCAGTATTGCAAGGATGAGATAGATGTTAGCGAGGGTCGGGGGATTGGATGCAGAGCAGAAAATTCTACCTAGTTTTCATTCGGGTAGCATGCGAACCTGACCTGTAAAGGTAAAAAGTTCAATGTACAAGCACATATTTTATCTTAGGAAAAATCTCCTGGAATTTCACCAATCAAAAATGTCACAAGTAGTTATACAGGTTAATCTAACATTAATCTGGCTACCTAGTGTCGTCAACGAGCATTTCATTGCTCTAGCCTATCACCATACATCATTAGCAAAGATAGATGAAAAAAGAATCCATCCAAGACATGCAGCAAGAAGAAGAAGAGGCAGAGAAGGTCCCCAATTAATCTCCAGTAAAAGGTTTTGCTCCCAGAGACAAAAAGATTTTTTTGTGAGTCTTGTTGTATGCTGTTGTAAATGTGTTGCTGAGCTGTGTTGAAGTAACAGTTGTTTGAAGGTTCACTGTGATAAAGATGCTAATATCCATTAGCATTTCGATGGCATTTCACATTATGGGTTAGGATTAAACTAGTCGACTTTAATTCGACAAATTAGATGGTTTGGTTGAAGATTTAGACGTTTAAATATAAAATGCTCAATTCTCTTTTTGTTTTATGTGTCAGTTTTGCAGTATACATCAACGGGCATTGACAAACAGCTCGACGCCAAGTACACTTTGCTTCTAATTTTGAGCACTGTGTCAGCGAGCGTGTCTTCTCTTCCTTTCCTCAAAATGACGGGAAAGGATAGTCTCCCATTTCTTGACAAAAGAGTGTGAATAAGAAGCGTGTTTTAATCAATTTGAAATGTTTAAAGTGTCTGGGAGGAGGAACAATATTTAAACAATGTGTATGCTCTGTCTATACCGTGGGTGCGTCTGAAATGTGGAAGTTTTGAGTGTCTTCTCTACCGATCCGCCAGTAGGCAACACCAGCCCAACCCATTCAAAAACAACTCACCACTTTCCGAGCCTTGTCTCTGGTCTCCCCTCGCCGACTAAGTGGGGAAGGGGCTGGAGGTTTTGGAGAGCGAGTGCATGCTGGGAGTGGCCGTGGAGAGGGCCTTTCATTCCTGTTTCGCTCTGTATCCGAGTAAGGCGCCAGTGAATCGACTTCAGGCCGGTTGCTAGGTGACCTGCTACAGTGCCGGCCGGTTTCCCCGCTGCTTTTCTTCGAGCTTCCCTTCGAGGGTGTGTCTGAATCATCTTCTCCCCGGGCGCCGCTCTTCTCATGGTTGACTCCTCGTAACTTAGCTTTACGCTCCAACAGGCTGTTCAGGAATGCGCTGTCATTGTCTTTCTCTTGAGAAAAAGTTGATGGTGGACTCACAAGGGGAGGTGAGATAGGACGCTCATTGCCCCAGGTGCCCTGCCTCTTTTTAGGGGACGGAAGTGGACTTATGTCTTGTCCATTTTTCTTTTTTCTTCTGGGACGGTCATCGTGGTCACCGCAGTCTCCGAGCTCATCGCGATCCTCGTAGTGGTGCTGCGGTCGACCGTGCCGGTACAAAGGATATCGACTGAACTCACGAAGCTCAGGCTCGTCGTCCACCCTTCTTTCTGCTTGTCTACATCCTCTTGGCTTGTAAGTGGCAGCAAACTCTTCCAGCTCATCCAGCGAGCCGGTCCGGCCTGCAGTTTGGTAGTTCTTTCTTTCCAGATGTTCCGATCGAGGGTTCCACCTGAATGAAAAAGAAGGGGAGGACATTGCAGGTATTTCTTGGGGAACCCATCCTTTTATTTGCTGAAATACCTACGTGTTGTCTGATTTTGTGCTCAGGCCAAAGTCATGTCTAAAATAAAAATATTGCTTTGGCCCCGTCAGAGGACAAGGAACTACAGTGGCACCTTGAGATATGAGTGACCTGAATTTTGTATTTTGAGACACCATTTTTTTTTATGTTTTTAACTTTAGTGCAAAAATTTGCCCTATGAATGCGAAATGGTAGCAGTGAATTAAACTTAACTCATTTCATAACAAGCAGAGAGGATTTGTGAGCCGTCCTTCAAAAGCCATCTATTGCCACTCGCAGCTGAAGGTTATTGTCGAATTACATATCAATAATGAGAATTACATGTGTACCATACCTGTTGTGATGGTTCTCCTCACTGTGGTTCTGTTGCCGAGCATCACGTACGTGCCTGCGTGACTGAGAGGAGGAAGGAGGGTCATCGCTGTAGCGCCGTGGCAGGAGGGAGTCCTCTGCACATCGACGAGGCTCGGACTCAAGGACCTCGCGATAACGTTGGGGCGAAGAGGGGGTGTTGTCACAGAACCGCCGTGGCTCTGGGCTGCGGTTGTCCTGGTATCGTCTAGGTTCAGGTTGAGGATCGTGGTCCACGATGGGAGGAAGCGCTTTCTTCTGGACCTTCCGGAATGTTTGGCGAAAACCGTTTTCTCCCTCATGGAGGGAACTCAGCTCGGACATGCCGCAGGCTGGATTGGTACAAAGAATTGGAGGGATAAATTAGCATGACTACAAAAGCAAATGTTAGAATTTCATTAGATTTGATAGATGAAAACAGAGGGAAAAATATGAGATCTTAAAAATGTTTGATGAGAGGTGCTTAAAAACATTCTGCCAGCCAAGCAGACATGCAAGTTTGGATATCAGAATTACTGAGAGATCAGAATTGTTGAATCCAGAGAAACATGCAAAGACAAACGTAATCAATAATGGTAAGATGAGTATTCCAGGATGCGGCGTTCAAGGAATACATGCGTATGTACACACATCTCTTGATTGCACATGGAGAGTAGAAGCCACAGGACATGTTTCTGAAGCTTACACTGGTGACTGGCGGACCTGGCAGGGTTGAAGTGAGCCAGTTGGTTCTCTACATACTGTAGAACCCTGAGAGAGTCCTGGTCCTGAGCTGAGGGCAAGCGGTAGGGAGCTCCTACTGCATGCATGGGAACTGGACATAAACACTGCACCTCATCAGCTTTTCACTGTTTTTCCTCGATAGGAAACACTGACTGTATGAATGATGCTTTTGCTTTTCTACTCAGAAGTTAAGGATATTGGGCTTTGGGTTGAGATTTCAAGTTGAACCTGAAATGCACTAAAACCTTCACAGGTGAACTGAAATGGACCATCTCTAAACGTTTGAATGAACATGTTCAAGGCCAAATCAAGTTAACCTGTCATGGCAGTGGCGCATTTTAGACTCATTCTGAAACTTCAATATCCCGACATTTTTGTGCGCAGTGTAGTGCTATTTCAACAATCCTACAATCAGTTGTGAGAAGTGCATAAATGCGTTTGACTTACCCGCTGTGAGTAGACTACCATCTGAAGGAGTGACAGATGGCAGATTTTCTACCAGGGAAGGCGGAGCAATGGGCACCATTGCTGGGACACCAGAAACAAAGTATTGCGGGTAGGCAGTTGTCTGAAGAGTGGAGGTGCCCGTCTTGATACCCTTACCTGCTTCGTACACTGGAAGACCAACAATGAACGTGAGTAGTTGCGGTTGTGGCACTCCGTGAAAAGCCTTTTTGGGCATTGAAGCAATATCCTCGATATCCAGCTTAAGGTCCATGAACTTGTACACTCTTTGTCCTCACTAGTACGACAATTCAGGTTGTAGTCATAAAATGACTCGGGCCCACTCGTAGAATAACCATTTCGAACCAGTTACATTTAATTAATATCCTTCATTTCCATCTTAAGATCCACTTACAAGTATGCTTTTTGTGATCACTAACTGTTAAGACAATTCATCCCACTACAAGTATGACTAGGACACACTCATAGAACAACTCTGTTTAACTGGTAACTTTTTTTTTCCAATATTGCATTCGGCTCCTGTATTGGCATTTTTCCACACAACTTCGAATTTGTAATAAAAATAGTCGTAGTGGAGTAATGAATGAGGCAAAACTACGAGTATGGTCTACTAGTGTGTGACACATGCCTCTTAGTTGGGCCAAGTCGTGCTACAAGGTTTAATTGCATACTACTAGGCCAGAAGAGGCACTGATAGTGAAAAACATTTTGACCAACAAAGCATAGTTGTTCTAGTAGCCTATCCTAGTCATTGTATGGTCCTTAAGTTGGATACCAGAGATATGGAATCAATGATCAAATGGCTTTCCATATTGTTGCGCTCTTTTGTGTGAGCGTGCTTGTACTCGACTCACAATGTTTGGGGCAGCAGCATGTGTCCGGGCAGCAGCAGCAGCTCACATAGCAGCAACAAGAGTGAGGACAACACTGACACCAGCACACTCCAACCAACAGTAGGAACAACACGCTGCCCAGTGCCACGGCTGCCACAAACACCCATTCTGCAAAACACAGAATCAACAAAGAAATAAGGACAGAGTAGACACACACAGGAATGTTCCAATAAGAGATGTACAGTATTCCGCATTTGATTGAGGCATTTTAGTTTCATGAACCCTTACTATTGCATTTCTTCTTTTGTTTACATTGCCCTTCAAAGACCAATAGATCCATGTTTTGAATGGAACCAACAGAGAGTTTTTGGGACTGTTCTAAGCTCCCTTTTCAACACTGTAACCGCTGTCTCAATCATGAAACAAGTTTCACAGTTTCAAGATTGTTAAAATGACCACAATTTCCCTTGATTTAACACACATTGGTAAACGCACAGTGTAGTCCAATTTAGAAAATGTCTGACACAGAACAGCCTCAGTAGACGTAAACTTTGGAGCACCTTGACGATAGAACAATATTTAAAAAATTATTTTTGGGTGTATTTTGGGTCAAATTTAACGGTGAAGAATGAGACGTGAGTATTTTTTTATTGCTATTAAAACAGGTAAAGGGTCAAAACTGGTTAAAGTTTTCAATAATGAATTCATTGTATTTTTATTTATTTTTTTTACATATTTCCACAATCGTTGCACACATTTGCCCCCCTCAAAAAAATAAAAAATTGCACCAAAATGGTGACTTGCTCATGGAAACCTCATCAATCAAATCTGAGAGCCTTGAGTCAGTTTTATCATTACCCACTTGTCTGTGGCTTCCCCACGAGAATATAAAACGCCAGATGATGAATATTCTATGGTCGGCCATCAAAAGCTAATCCAATTGAATACATTGTAGCATTTTAAAAGGATCACTGCAAAAAAAAAAAAAAAAAAAATCTTATCATTGTATTCAGTGTGTAAGCAGAAAATCATGCGAATAATATTTGTCTACAAGTGATTAAAAAGTGAATTTTCCAAAATCCTGTAGCTCCCCTTCCCCGGAGACAAAGGAAAGTTGACACATTGCACCCATTTTTCATAAGCACACGGCCATGCGCTCAGTCTAAAAACGGGTGCATCTTCATTTTGGTGCCGCCGCAAGTCTAGTCTCCCATGTTTGGGGCCATGGAGCACCTCTGTGGCCCGTCCAAAGCACAGTGCAGCCTTGTCACCGAAGCACCTGACTTTTGTCACAGAAAGTAAACTGCGCCCAATGTGAAAATGGGCACGTCTTAATTTTCATCCCGGGGTAAATCGAGTTTAACCACTGGCCAGGACTCAGTTAGTTTGCATCGCACAACGGCGCTAATATCAAATGAAAGAAAACTCTGCCCGTGTGCACAGTTAGACTCCACTTTGTGCTAGAGCATGAAAATAGGGCCCATTTTGTTCATCTGCGAAACAAAACAGTTGACAACATATTTTAGAAGACATTAGAGTACTGTAATTTTAATACAAAATTGTTTGGGAGTACTGAATACTGTTGATTACACCTTCATTTAACAAGCAGATAATCTCTATGTTGACCCAATGTCTCTGGAGTGGAGAAAGAAAGGGAAGGAGGAGGCTGATAAGGACATACTAAGTATGTGAAATCAAGGACAAAAATATCTCTTTAAACACACACATACAACAGAGAGGAAACCTGATTTAGCTACAGGAAGGAAAGGAATGGTTCCCGCTGCTGTTTCGACAAATCTGCTTGCAATGGGATCTCATTAAAAATCCTTACCACACACATCCACCCCAAAGATAAGCTTCCTGGAACCATTCTGCATGACCCAAAAACTCCATGCCATTTTGTCAGTCATATCTGTGTCCATAAACAGCACACTATGTGATGATTAAATATGGTAGGGGAGCGTAATGTCACATAAACAAAAGTTACTCCCTGTAGATTGCAACGTTTGTACTGGGGCGTTTCGAACAATAAGAGCCAAGCTGCAAATATAAATACACCTTGAAAGACCATAATACGTGTTTTCCAGCACAGCTCATCTGGGAGCTCGGGACCAAAATCCAAGAATAGATTCAATTGTGAGCATTAATCAGCTCCGAAAAAGATCTTCACTATGACTAAATGCAACAATTGTTTTAACGAGTGCAGCTCAAACATTTTACACCAAGATCGCCTTAAAAAAAAATTCTCTCTGCAAGTGTCACCTTCACAATACAAATTAAAAAAGGACAGTCGGCCCAAGTGCTCATCAAAAATGAGAGGTGTTACTCCTAAAAATGAGATTCATGATTTTCAGTCACCGATTGAACATGGAAAATGAAAATGAAAATCAATGAATCAACTAAAATATATTGCAAAAAAAAGTTAAATAAAAAACATTAAAATTGTTGGCGAACATCTGGAGAAGCTTTGCCAATTTGAACAAATGCATCAAATAGTAATAATTACACCACACCAAAAAAAAAAAAGCCACAAAAAATAAAACATTACTATGAATTACAATAATTATTCAGGTTCAAACAGTTTTAATTTCCTTTTTGAAAAGTGCGACCAACGTGAGGCAATATCATTCATACAACATGTCTGCCTCAGAAGGTTTTGGATATATGTGAAGGCACTGAATAAAAACAGTACAAGAAACTCATAGCCACCATTGAAAGTCACTGGATTGAATTACAGGTGTCACGATTAACTGACAACTAATAGATAATCAAATTAATCGACAACGATTTTAATAACGTTTGGAGCCACTGTTTACCGGAAAAATTGGCCAAATGCTCTGATTTCAGCCAGTAATTATTCAGATTTTTTGTAGTCCTTCATGAAAGCAAACCAATTATGTTTTGTGTTTAATTAAAACAACACATTTGCAAACATTTCTTTTTACTTTGGAAAAGAATGAAATAACCAGTAACTAAATCAGTTTCAGAGGTTGATGATAAAAAAATTAAGTCACATTATTTAATGGAATAATCATTAGAATAATCAATTCTAAAATTAATTACTAGTGACAGCTCTAATTTGAATATGACCTGTCATCACAAGCTGGCCGTCAGCGTAAGCAATCAGTGACATAACAATCTATGAAACAGTTGTTTGCGCAGTAAATGTAAGCACAGATATCCAGTTAGCGCACAGTTAGTGTTAGTAAGAGTGAAAGAAAGCAGGTGAGGGTGGCGGGAGGGTGGGGGGGTCATAATGCCCCTACCTGGCATAATCTTCAATTCAAAGTCAGGAAGCAGATCTTCAGGCACGCCTGAGAAACCTGGTGAGAGACAGAGCACAGGTGAAGAGGAGAGGAAAGGGAATGGGGTGGATGTCACCAAGAACACTGCAGCCAAGGAAGTTATTGGTGCAGCAGCAGCAGCAGCAGCATGCACTGAGACAATGAGAAATATAAGCACTTGAACACAATCACCCGCCAATTTATTAGAAACACCCGTACAAGCCTGTGGGATCCAATATAAAAGCAGTCAATCGTTCGGAAAGATATCTTCGATTGTTTTGATTTGTTGTTATTATTTGCCAGATTCGTGTTCATTTATTTTGATTTGTTTTACTTGATTTTGTTTTTTGTATTGACTGTAAAATGCAGTGTTATGGTATGGAAAAGCAAAGGACTGTATTCTATATGTTATGTGGCGCACTTTGTGAGTTATGAATTGCAATCAGGGACGTCATTCAAGATGACACTCAGTACTGAAATACTCTCATATGACAACTGATTTTTTTGTGCTCACAATAACTCGTGAAATGCTGTCATACACTTGTGAAATACTCTCACAGGACTGATACACGCATTTCAGTTTCATGTCTGGAAGGATTTCAATAGTGTGTGTGAGATCGCATCACTAAAGTATGAGAGCGAAAAAAGTTTCAGTTGTGTGTGCGTGTGTGTTCGCGCATGTGTGTGTGTAAGAGAGCTTTTCATGTGTGACTAGTCAATCATGCTCATACACACGCGCGTGCCAGAGAGAGAAAGAGAGAGAGAGAGAGAGAGAGAGAGAGAGAGAGAGAGAGAGAGAGAGAGAGAGAGAGAGAGAGAGAGAGAGAGAGCATTTCACTAGTTTATGAAAAATGTTTCACTTGAGAACATATGAGCGTTTCACGACTGTACCGGTATATATACATGTACTGTATAAGCATGTAAAAAATGTGTCACTTGTGTGTATGAGAGTAGTGTGTGTGAGAGGTTATCCTGGATTACATGGCTCACGTGTACCCACGTGTACCCTCCTAGTAAATCCTCTCTGTGAACAGTGCTACGATACTGTATTTGAATAAAATGTTACTTGTCACTTAAGTGAGTACAGTGACACTGAGTATGTCTTTTATATTCTATTTCTAAACATGAAGACAACTCCTACTTGTGTTCAGCTCAGCACCAAAATTTACTGTGTTCTTGAGTTTGTCTCTTATCATAAAAATGACCATTAATAAAGATGAAAAGGCAGCCAATGCATTGGATCACATCAGAATTTATGGGTGTAAATAATGCAGATGGAGTTTGCAGACACAGATAAAGAATGTGAGTGTATCAGACAGGCAATGAAAGAGGATCAGCACGCACCATTCCACTCTCGTTTTAAAATGGAGGAAATCGAAATCCAATCAAAGCAGAGTGATTGCTTGATTTAAGTTAAAAAAAAAATATTTCAGTGATGACAGCTGCAGTGGATAATATGACATGCAGTTGCTGATATCATAGGTGGCAGTCAGCATTCAAGCAGGCTATGTGCAAACATTGCAAAACTTGTCAGTCTTGGCTGGAGCGCTCCATTTACCAGTTCATGAATGAGTCTCGAATCTGTTCCTATGAGTTACTTTAGAACAGTGGTTCTTCACCTTGTTAGTGGTACTGAACCCAATGAGTTCATATGCACGTTCACCGAACCCTTCATTAAGCGAAAAATAAAAATGTTATTTTTTAAAAATTCAAGACATTAAAAAAACACATTTATTAAACACAGAAAAAAGTAAACACAATTTCAAGACATAAGTATAGATGTTTTTTTAAGATTACGACGTACTATCACGACAGTCACACGGTGACTACTGAGCAAACTAAATTTCCCGCAGCACTGATTGGACAAACAATGTAATGTGATCATCTGCAGCCAGTGATGGCCAAGTGGGCGTGTCATAACTAATTGACATGTTGAGTCGGGTGTGTCTTAACCTTCATTGAAGGGGCTCCGTCGAACCCCTGAGACCGATTCACCGAACCCCTAGCGTTCGATCGAACCCAGTTTAAGAACCACTGCTTTAGAATTATGACATATTGGTGTCACTCCTTCAATTACACTGCTCAAAAAAAGTAAGGGATAATTGCCTGGGGGGTGATATTTCAGGATGACCCCCAAATGGGCTATAATATAGACAGGTGAACTCAATTTGACCACCTTCAAACTTTGGTGAGTCGTGTATACATAAATATATACAAAACATCTAGATATTTAGGACGTATATTTGTTTTGAGGTACAAATCTGACATCCTGTGTTGTCTTCATTCCATGTAGGGCTTGCCAATTATGAAATGTCAACATGCTAGTGTGTCCTGTTGGTGCTTTTGAGCAGATTGCTGAAGCAGAGGGAAAAACGACAAAGGTACAAAGTTGGAGTGACAACATCAGGAATGCTGTAAGCGTAATAGTGATGCTTTGCTCAGTCTCAGCTGACAGTGGCCATACCTCAGTCTGCATATTTCGGGGATGCTAAAGTGGTCTTTGCTGGCTTTGGAAACAAACAAAAAGCAAGAACCACTAAGAATGTTGGTTTGAACATCTACTGCATCTGGAGTGAAGTTATTTGCTTTTCAAAAATCTATCTGCTTGTGTGTAATTCCAATACCAACAGATGGCAGATGAGTCATCTTAAGATCATTGCAAATATGCTGCTTACAGAATGGAAGCAGGTGGTATTTGTACAGGATCACGTGCTAGTGCAGATTGAGGGATGAACTGTAAAAGGAGAACTGCCAATTTCATGCTGGATTAATATGAATAAATAACAATAATAACTTCAAGTGTATTTCAAATGACATTATGATGGGCCCAAATTTAGCATGTATGCTAAGTTTACACTGTTTACACTATTTATTCTTGTGTTGATTAATGTGCACTGTCTCAATGACATAAATAACTAAATAAAATCATTTGTATACGTAACATGAGCCCACACTATTGATTTTGAAGCCCCTGGATATCTTACATTGAGAGAAGAAAATAATACAATTTCAATGCAATTATAATGGGCCTCAATTATATGCGGATGTTTACTGTTTGCAGGCTGGCTCGGTCCTTTTTCCCGCAAACAGAGGGGGTCTGCTGCATTGTCTTTCTGTCTCTTCATCCCTTCGGTGTTTATGGATTTGTTGACCAAAACATAAAACATTTCTAAAGTGCGGCAGCAGTTGTTTTACATTACATTTGGACATATTTTGACTAATTGGATTTCCATGAATACATACAGGTTTACAGTGATTAACATTAGCTCGGTGACATGATGTCAATCTCAATCTATTGTATTACATTCTGCTCACCACTACCTCCTGTGTGTCATGAAATAACCTCCATATTATTTGTAAATGAAGCCATTTGCTCATAAAACAAACACCTCTAAGCCATCCTCAGATGCATTAATCTGTGGTGTGATTCTATCCTGTAATGATCGGCAAAGCCCAACTCAACATGTGGCATTATTCAAATCAAGGTTTCAACTAAATACCAGTAAGTTGCTGATGTGTGTTTGTGTGCATACACATTAGTCCTCAAGTGCCAGACCGACAAAAGGTTGTGACTCAGAATGAATGAGAGGACCAAGCCTCTCAACTGTTGCTATAGTAACACTTGGAATTGCACATAAATTGAGCACGCTGTCACTGCAAAGTGCAACAACTAACACACAATAGAGCTACAGTACTCACAGGGGCTGCAAACTCACACACACGTACAAAAGTGACATCATATTAAAGACCTTGCATAGTGAATTCAGAGATTTGTTTTCAAACATATGATAAACATTTAAAGATAATTGCTGAAAACACACAAAGACTGAGAACTGTGTAGAACTCAATTGTGGAGATATAGGGCCCTGTTTTGATTCCGGGCTCAAGTCGAGTGCAAAGTGCAGTGTAACTGTGCGCATGGGTGGAATTGTCTTTCTTTTGGTATTTGGCTAGACTATGCACCGGTAGAAGTGGATCTAAACGGGGAATTTGCACCTTTGTGAGCTGTTGTGGGATGGATCATAGTGTTTTTCCAGCCAATCCTGGCTGCATCCCTAAGTGGCATCAAAATCAGGGTGGTATATTGCCCCGCCTGAGAACTCTATGCTTATATTGCGGAAACAGAAATTAGACTCACTAAGGTTTGTGCATGACATTGGCACATAAACTGCAAGATCTCCCCTTGCAGATGATGTAGCCGGCTTGTGATGTGGGCAGTTGGAAGTCTTGCGCCGCCTGATTATACATGTCTGACCCCCACTGCCTTCCCATTCCCAATATTGAAGGGGGTGCTATTCAAATATTTTTAAGATGCTAATGATTTTAATTTGTTCAACTAATTTATTTCTACAATGATTCAGCGAAATTGTCCCATGCTGGTGTTGTTATTGTTGTTGAGTCACCCTAGGCGCCTCAGGATAATCCTGAGTAGCGCTAGACTCGCGGATGGGAGGCTCCTAAGTTCTCCGAAGGAGTTGCCAAGTTGTTGATGGTGCCGGTCCACCAGGAACGCCGGGCAGCGTAGCCAAAGATGTTCGGCCGACTCTTCTTCCTCGCCGCATAACCGGCATCGGTCGTTGTCACACATCCCCAACAGATGTTGCCATCGTTGGAGAGAGGGGTGATGGCCGGACCATCACCCCTCTCTCCGACGATGGTGCTGGTGTCATATGAATGAAATACTGTACCACGAGGGCCACCACTTGCGCAGAGCGCCGAATCCGTCTACACTACAGGCACCTCGACTCATCCATCCATCCATTTTCAAAGCTGTGGATCCTCACAAGGATCGCCGGGCGTGCTGGAGCCTATCCCAGCCATCTTCGGGCAGTAGGCGGGGTACACCCCGAACTGGTTGCCAGCCAATCGCAGGGCACACATAGACGAACAACCATCGGCGTTCACAATCACACAAAGACTAGCGTGGACACAAAAATGAAGTTAAGCCCATTTTTACGCGGAGCGTACGGGCACCAGTGTACCAAAATAGCACGCATAGCCTAAAACTGTTTTTCACCATTTCAGTTATTATGATTGTTTTGGAGGGCCGCGGCTTACGTGGCGGTGCCAGACACACTCTGGAGGGCAGAATGAGTCACCCCTCCTTGACAGTAGAACAGGGCACATTCAGCAGACATGGCCACAGCATTCGAGAATTGGAAAATTGATTTTTCATGCTTATGAATCCTCATTTTATATATTTGGTGATTTTTTTTTCATTCAAATTTGACTGATCTTGTTTAAAACACTATTTTCTATGTACTGTATGTCTTTCATATATCAATGCTCTGCTGCTGACCTTATTTTGTATATTTTGTCGATCATAACCACTTTTGGCCCATTAAAACCCAAGAAAATGATTTTTTTGAATTCCGTGTTATTTACCGGACTGATTCATTCATGTAAAGGATTGCACAACAAGTAAAATCAAAGGTTGAATAAAACAAATTGAGTTAGTTGCTATGACAACAGGCTATGAGTTCCAGAGAATTACCTCTGCATCTTATAAAGCAGCTTATTAATGAGGTTCTATTGTTCTCTTGGTGATGAATAGGACCACTTATGAATGCCACATTATGCAACACTGTCAATTTGGGCTGCAGTCTTTGTTTCTTCCGAGGTTGGAGCAGGCTTGTGAATTGTGCTACTTAAACAGGGGGTTAATTAGTGTGTGATGGGATTTCTACTGAAGAGATGCTTTAAAACAACAAGGGGCCATTGGACGCAATAAACAAACATCCAATTGTGACAGCTGGATTTCTAGGTGGACTGAAGCTACTTCTCAGAAAGTATCAGCACCTTACCCAAAACCAGCAGCTCCACAGACGCTTCATTCTGTCCCACCACATCATCAGCTATCACCACTTTGCATGTATACACGCCGCTGTCCCCCCACTGGACCTCTGCGATTCGCAAGTCTGCCTCTGCAAGGTACAAATAAGTGGAAATTAATTCATTCATCATTAAACAGTTGGTACTTTTTTCAAGCTTAAAGTAATGAAAAATAGTCAAGCATCATCCAAAAAAAATAAATAAATTAAGGTTCAGTACATATGGGAAGCTGCTTGCCCATTTATTGATTCAGTTTACAGTGCATGTAGTTATACTCTCTTTGCCCTCTCATAGAACAATTGTTTATTGCTCAAAATGTATTTTGCCAGTACTAATCCCACGTTTTGCCCAATGGTATGCAATCCAACATTACTAGTAAACTACTGTGCTAAACAAGTAACACTGCTAGGCTGGCAGGACCAAAATGCGAGTACTATGAGTAATTTTGCCTTACAAGTAGAATGTACTGTAACTGCCCGACTTGTACGCCAAACTTGTCCTACTAGAAATAAAATGTTACAACTAAGGCACATTTGTTTCACTAAGGTGCCCTCGATCTTCGAGTACCTTGAATTGTCTTCGTAGTCAGGCAAAAGAAGATACTTTTGGACTTCATAATACTAGTGCTACGAGTGACATAAAATTACACTAGTTAACAGCTCTTCACTAGTAGTAGTATTAGTAGCACCGCTATCCTGCTAGGATGCCAACCAAAAGCTGTCCTAATAGTGCAGAGATTACAAGATAGTGGAAAAATATGGTACTTGCAAAACACAGTCAATCTAGTACAATACAATACATCCATCCATCCATCCATCCATTTTCCGACCCGCTTTATCCTCACTAGAGACGCGGGGGGCGCAGGAGCCTATCCCAGCTGTCTTCGGGCAGTAGACGGGGGACACCCTGAATTGGTTGCCAGCCAATTGCAGGGCACACAGAGACGAACAACCATCCACACCCACACTCATACCTAGGGACAATTTAGAGTGCTCAATCAGCCTGCCATGCATGTTTTTGGAATGTGGGAGGAAACCAGAGTACCCGGAGAAAACCCATGTAGGCCCGGGGAGAACATGCAAACCCCACACAGGGAGGCCGGAGCTGGAATTTAACCCGGTACCTCTGCACTGTGAAGCAGACGTGCTAACCACTGGACTACCGGGCCGCCCAATACAATACATCTTTATTTATATCGGGCTTTCACAACAGCTGCAGCTGTAACAAAGAACAGTTAACATAAATAACAAAACAATATAACACTGCACATAATATAAGTCACAGGCAGTCATGCAATCATAACCACTATTCCTACAGACAGAACTACAGAAATGTCATACAACAGAGGTAAACGTGTGACCAGTCAGAGATTCTACTCGTGCACTAGTGCATGGACGTGACGCTGGATATCTAGGATATCAAATAAATAGCTTTTCCTAAGTCCGCCTCATGCCGAGTGTATTTTGGCTGGAGAACTATCCACGCAGGACAATGCAAGGCTGCTGCCACTATTGTAGAAGATCAGACATAAAAACAACAGCCAGGAAACGGGTTGTATTCTTGATTTCCTTTTCCTGTTTGCCAAGGAAGCAGGCGGAGTGGCCCTGATATGCACCACTTACCGTGGGCAATCTCTCCTTCAACATAAATAACTTTATACGTTTAATCTAAGAATCAAAGTCATTTCTTTGCTGTAACACTTTTCACAGCAGAAACTACAGGTCCTTGTACCAGGGCGCTCCTAGTCCCTATAGCAGGATAATTCACGCACTAGTGGAATGACTGTGCTTTACTCATTTTTTTTACACTACTGTATGACATTTTTGTATACTAGTAGGATAACTTTGGCATAGAATAGGACAATTATTGTACATATTGTAGTGAAGCAAAACTGTGCACTAGTTGAAAAGTGTGCTCTAGATGTTAAATAGTAACATTTCACTTGAAGTATTAGCCGCACTCAGTGCTCAACTAGCCTGCATGCACAAGCACACGAAATGAGTGGAGAGAAGGAGAGCCAAATCAATGACTGAGCGTGCGTGTGCACATACACACACACACACACACGCACACACACACACACACACACACACACACACCCGGCACACGCACGCTCACACACGCACGACCATGCACTCGCGCACATATGCATGCACACCACGACGAGCAACAGCCAGAGCGCCCGAACATAAATGAAACCTAAAGACACAAACACACAAATCTTTTTCCCCCCCCATGTCCTCCTCCCACCGCTCGCGGTCGACTTGGGATCAGTCTGCTGGCTCTTGGTCGATTGCGATCGACGTATTGGGCACCCCTGCCTTAAAAACAGTGATAATTTGCTGACTAGCTGAGCACTTAGCGCCGTTGTCTGCGCATGGGCGGTGATTCAGTCATCTGATTGGTTGCCCTCCATGTCACTCAAGTAATGGGATTGATGATAGGATGACAATTGTCGTGTGAAAGCCCGGGAGCCGCATTGAACCAGCAAAAGAGCCGCATGTGGCTCGCGAGCCGTGGGTTGGCCACCCCTGCAATAGAGGCTACATATAAATGGCTTTATGAAAAGCTGTTTGAGAATCTACTAGTGCACTGGATCATCCATGTCCTCTATAGCAGGGGTCCCCAACCTTTTTTGCCCCACGGACCGGTTTATGTCAGACAATATTTTCAGGGACTGGCATTTAAGGTGTGGCGGAAATAATACAACAAAATAATATGGTATGAGCTGCATGAAAACTGTGGTGTTTTCGAAATATAATAATAAACACAAGGAGCGTCTAATCTGGCCGCAACACTCTGATTGCTATGGTCATGTTTAATGCCTTCAAAATATGATACAACGCAAATTCAAAGTGCATGAAAAAGACGACTCACCACAGCCCCAAGCTTGATTTTCTGCAACCAGACGGCCCATCTCGGGGTAATAGGAAACAATGACACCTCAAGTGTGTGGTTTATGT